GCCATCAAGTCAGAGCCTACTCATAGCTGACCCTTCAGTGAGTTTTCGGAATCTGTAAACAACAATGCTAAGTGATTACCTATCTTTCTCCTGTGGAGTGGCTGGTGATTGTGAACTGTCTGCTTTTGGATTGGCAGTAAAGCTCCTTATCAATAAGCCACCAGAGCTTCCTTATTTAATGTAAACAATAATAACAAAAAAATTAAACTAAATCTCAAATTTATCCTAGTTTGCCTTCATGCACTGTGAAAATATTTCCACATTTTATATGTATGTGATCTGGCAAGATTCAGGAAGTCCTGAAGTATACAGCACAGTGGGAACTTATGAATACTAGGAAAGATCCCCAGGAATTAACTCTTTGTTTTGTTATTTACCAGTTATATGATGTCTGTGTGTTACTTTATTGACTTAAGCTTTTTATTGCCATTTGAGTGAACGTTTACCTAGCAGATTCCCTTCAACTATTCATAAATACTATGTTTTATGACTCTGATCACAACCTCCCACTGGAACTTGTTTCCATTCTTCCTTCTGTCGTCCACCTTCCTGCCTTTGGAGCTTTATCCCTGGGCAAACATTTCCCTTACAATCTTGTATGATTGATTGTTCACCCTGTAGACCTGAGTATTGTTTGGTTGAAAGTTGTATCACAGAGATAAGCTCAATTCTAGGCTCCCCCGCAACCCCCCGAAGTTATTAATCCAGAGGAGAACAGCTACATATTTTTATTCAGGCAGAAATAACCTATATGATATGCAGGGATGCTCATTCTTTTTTTTAAGTTTAATTTTTTTTTAAATTTTAATTTCAATGAACATCTACAGAGATTTTGGAATTCCATTCATTCAATTCTAGGCTTTAAGGGAAGGCTAAGGGCCAAAGTTTTTGAATTCCATCCGTCTTTATCAGACCAGTAAACCTGGCTACTTTTATGATTTTTCATTTTATTCCACATTTATTTCCCACTCTATCTAGGACTCTCTACTTTGATAGTTATGAGCAATGCTAGCTGGGCACCATCCAGTTTTTCCAGTGTCAAGGTCATTAGAGTTGCTAGTTACTTTTAATTTCTAAGGCCCCTGGGTTAAGCATTCAGCTACTATCCAAAAGACTAGTTGTTTGAACCTATCCAGAGCACCTTAGAAGACAGGCCTGGTTATCTGCTTTTGAAATATCATAGCCTTGGAAACAGGACTGACATTGGAGTTGAGAGAAGACAGAGAAGGGGAGGAATGATGTATACTGCATTGCAACAGATGAGGCAGAGACATGCTTAAAAGAGATATATGATTAGGTATTATTGTCATGTCAGGAGTTTAGAATGAAGGCTGCACAGTGCACTGGACTTGGAGGGAGAGATTACATAGCAATGAAAACATCTGTCTTTTACTTATTAAGGAGAAACGTGAATTGGAGGGGAGGGTGTGGGCAGGGAGAAAAGTGCAACAGTGAATGACTGGAAACTCTAAGTCTTTGTAAACTTTCATTAAAATTAATTAAAAAATAAAGAAAAAACCAAACAAAAAAAACCCTCTATGGAGGAGCATCCTATCAATACACAAGGGATCACCATGAGTTGAAATTGATTAAGTGGCAACCAATTGCAACAATCATGCAAATAATTATGTTCCTTCACTTCTACTGCAAATGCTGATAGTAATGATAACTATCTCACAGGCTTGCTTTGAGAATTAAACGATGCATCCATATAAAGTTTCTAAAGTTGCTGTTGTATATAATGGAGTTGGAACCGACCCGTAGCTCACCCTTCAGTGGGTTTTCAGAGGCAGTTAATTGCATGGGCAAAGGTTGCCTATCTTTCTCCTGTATTTGTACCACATGTTTTGGATTGGCAGCACTTAACAAAAGGCTGCTAAATGAAAAGTCTGTAGTTCAAATTCACCAGCTCTTCCATGAAAGAAAGGCGGTCAGTCTTCTGCCATAAAGATTTGCAGCCTTGGAAACTTGATGGAGTGTGGCTATGAGTCAAAGCCAACTCAAAGGTGGCATCCACTTCCTAAACAACATGCCTCTGGGAACTCTATTAACTTTGATGAATGTAGATAGTTATAGAAAGGCTTCAAGTCTTTTGTTCATAGGGTCACTGTAAGTTGTGCTCAACTCAACAGCAATCAACAACAACAAATTAGTTCCTAGTGTGTTGTTGTGTACTGTAGAGTCGGTACCAACCCATAGCTGACTGTCCAGTGGGTTTTCAGAGGCAGTTAATGACGCGGGAGGAGATTGTCTATCCTTCTTCCATGGAGCAGCTTGTGATCTCAAAATGCGTGCCTTTGAGATTGCAGCAGAGCTTCTCGCCACTAGGCCACCAGAGTTCCCAGTTCCTAGTATAAAACCTAGTATATGACACCTCTTAGTTAGATAGAGCTATTATTATTACTAGGATTGCTAGATGGTACAAATGGTTACAACTACTCAGTTGCTAACCAAAAAGTTGGAAATTTGAGTCTACTTTGTGGGAGGAAAGCTGGTAAATCTATTTCTAATATCAGCTTTTGAAAATTCTTTGGAGCACAGTCTTACCCTGATATAGGGTGGAGGGTAGGAGAATGGGGGTGTCACTAGGAGTCAGCTTCAATTTGACAGCAGCTAACAACATCATTACTATTGATTTGTAGTAAAGGAAGAAAGAACTGGGAAGGGTGGTCAGTTTCCTGATCTTGTCCTTGGCTCCCTCCTTACCTACCAGGCCAAACTTAATGGAGGAGGAGAGCAAAATCTTAAAGTACTTCTAGTCCTTTAGTGAGACGAAAAAGGAAAAAGATACATAGAAGGAAATGAAAGAGGAAAAAGTAGGAGGCAGAAGACATGTCACAAAGTCAGCATCTATACAGAAATGTTGTTTGTTTGTTATTGTGTACTGTGGAGTTGGGCTGACCCATAGCTGACCCCCTGGCAGGTTTCCAGAGTGAGTTTATCTCATGGGTAGAGATTGTGTATCCTTCTCAAACGGAGAAGCTGATGGCCGAACCATATGCCTTTGGGATTGCAGCGCAGCTTCTTGCCACTAGGCCACCAGAGCTCCCTATTTGCAAAGTAAAATAAAGTCACCTAAAGATAAGTGGCAGTCTGGAGACTAAGGTGTGTCTAAGGTCTTCGCAATTATGTGCTATGCATCAGAACGTTGTACAATGACTAGGGATGAGAGAAAGAGAATTGATGCCTTTGAGCTGTGGTGTTGGAGAAGAGTGTTAAATACATCATGGACTTCTAAGAGAACAAATGGGTTTGTCCTGGAGGGTGAAAGCAGGCTGCTCCTTAGAGGCAAGGATTCTGAAGTTCTGTCTGACATACACTGAGCATGTTTCAAGGAGGGACCAGTCCTTGGAGAGGATCATTATGCTTGGGAGGGTGGAAGGAGAGCACAAGAGAGGAAGATCCTCGATGAGATGGGTTGACTTAGTGACTGGGGTAATAGGGGTGGGTGTGTCAGAGACAATAAGGTTGGCTCAGATAGAGTAGGGGTCAGAGCTGTTGTACATAAGGTCGCTATGAGTCACAGGTCACTTGACGGTACATAACAACAACAAAGATAAATGAAGCTCTGGTGACCTAGTGGCAAGAAGCCGTGTTGCAATCCTGAAGGTATGCAGTTTGAGGCAACCAGCTGCTCCACAGGATAAGGATGGGCAATTACTTTCCGTCAGATTAACTTCCTTCGGAAACCTGCTGGAGGGTCAGCTATGGGTACCGACACAACAATAACAACAACAACAAAGATAAGTGGAGGAAAGCTTCTTCACTAGTCACTACTCCCCAACACACTCATTTTAGGGACTATGAATGGAGGCCTTCATTAGACAAATGTCAAGACGGCCAAGTTGGGGCCTAAGTGAAGAACTGATGGGTTGTGGCTGATGAGTTGATTAAGGATGCTAGGTGACAGATGGGGTAAAGAAATAGTTCTACAAATAATTTAAAATATGTTGGGGTGCCAAAAGCAGTCATAAGCATCCCATATTTGTACTTCCCCACAAACTAAGGTTGCCAGATACCCTCTCAAGCTATGCCTACTCCCTCCAATACTGTCCTTTTCTGCAAGATTGAAACATCAGCAAAAGACTTACTCATTGGGTCTATGGCCTGAAAGCAGCTTTAAGAATATACTCACTCATGTAGTTAGCCTTCTTCATCTTTGTTCCCTGCTCCCTTGACTCCTATCCATCATCTCTCCACTCATTTATGGACTGCGTCAAAGCAATGGCATGTCCTCGTGCCCACACAAACCTGACCACAACACTTCAAAGAGAGTATGTCCAGGGGTGGGTCTGGGGCGTGGCACAGAGCCTCAGTGGTCGGCTCTGGGGTTGACCAGCAATTTTTCACTTAGTGCAGCAGCTGCAGAGCCCATCCCTACTCTAGTTTTGCTCTAGTGCTTTTCAAGTGGTTGAGAAGCTCTTCAGCTGGTGACCACAGAAGCTGCCGATGTCCTGGAGAGGGCCCACTGTCTGTCCCATTTTAGGGGAGAATCTGATTTGGAAGTGAGCTGGTAGAAAATTCAGTGGAAAAAATTTTCTTTCTGTAAAGCACTACTCACACCTGCCTTCTCCCCACTACTCTAATTTCTTTCTTCTCTCTCTCTCTCTCACCTTTTCACCTTCTTGCCTTCTCTCTTTCTCTCTTTCTTTCGTATGTGTACCATCAAATTGAATCTGACTGGTACTGGAGATTACCCTTCCTTCTCCGGCAGAGCATCTGGTGGATTTGAACCGCGTACCTCCGGGATTGCAACGCAGCTTCTCGCCACTAGGCCACCAGAATGCCCACTACTCTAATTCTACTAAGGTTAAAGAACATGGCTCAACCTTGAAGTTCTTTAAGCTTTGCTCCATGTTTTGCATGTTTATTTTATTACTCAAGGTGTGGTGATCCTGATGGTGCATCATCTTTAAAAGGAACTCTTGTGGCCTAGATATTTTAATACCCTTTATTTATCATCTAGTTTTCAGGCTCATTGACTGGGATAGATGACTTACATTCTGAATCTTCACTCTTGAAGAAGCCAATGAGTTTGATGTGGTCTTCAATGCGTTCAAAGGCTTGGACTTCCAATTTATTATTGATGATCTCCACTGGGTCTTCAATAAGCTGAAACACCACACAAATTTCCAAGTAAGAAAATGAAATTGTTCTATGTATGTTTTATATAATTAATAAGTATTGATCAATGCCTTTTCCCCATTCATGTTCGTATTTTATACATTCATTCACATACACTGTGTTTTATATAATGTTACTAGTTTTCACCTCTCCTCCTTGGTTTCTGAACAGTTAGACAAATCCTGTTCCTAATTATAATGTTAATTGTAAAAGCCATATTGTTCTTTCACCAATTCTTCCTGGGTTGATTTTCCCTTGCCCTAATCTTTTCAGTTTTCATTGACTATACATTCCATCTTAGCTCACCAATTTCCACATGCTCCCCATCCTAGTTACCATCTTATTTTCACAGCAACAGTCTTTCTTATACAGTATCTTGTACTGATTTTAATGATCCTATGCAGTATTTTTGTAACTGATTTGTTTCACTCAACTTAATATTTTCCAGTATCTCCCCTGTTGCAT